CCCCCCCCCCCCCCCCCCCTCCATGTCCCCGTGCTTGCTCTGATTGTACATACTATGCCAGGGTCGTGACAGCAACGAGGACCTTCGATCGAAGGCGATGACGCTGTTGGGGAGGTTTATCGCTGTCAAGGTGAGCACAACAACCGACACTTCCTAGAGTAGCCCCTGGGAGGTCACGAGGTTAGGTATGGGCTTCAGCCGATGTCGCCACCGCCGAGGTGATCGCGTCTCACGTTGGAGCGCATGGCCTGTGGCTGTTGTTGTTGGGGCTTGGGTCAGGGTGTTGTAAGTGCTGCTGCTGCTGCTGCTGCTGCTGCTGCTGCGACCGCCGATGACTGTTTTTTTTTGTTGTTTTGCCGTTGCTGCTTTTGCTGTACTGCTGAGGCTATTCGTTGTTGTTTGGCGAGAGTGGTGATTTCGAGAGTAGCGATATTCCCGTTCCGGTCGTAGTTGCAGACAACGCCCAAGGCTGCTGCCCCCCACTTTTTATTTGGTTATCACTTCACCCTTGCTCTGCCCATTAATACGCTGCTACTGTTGCTTGACTCGTCTTCAGGAGCCCAACATCCGCTACCTAGGGCTGGAAGTGATGTCACGACTGGCCCGGCTGGAGGGAAACGAGACCGCTAAGAAGCACCAGGCCACGGTGCTCATGTCCCTCAAGGTGTAGGGGGATGTCCGGTGCTACTGCTACTGCCATCGCTAACCTCCAACGGTCACCTAAGTCGGAGTAGTAGTAGTCGCACACGCTTCACCCTGTGCTCAGCCGGCCAGCTTTGTATCGGGAAGCGAGGGTATTTGGCCTCAAGTTTCCTTGAAGACCTACATCAACCTTGAAAAGCCCCCACCGTTGCATATTCGGTTTTCCACAGCAACCGCAAGGATGATGACCAGCTTCTGGTTTGTCCTTTTGAAAGGTAGCCTGGGCTAGCAATAACTAGGCGTACCGGCGTTGTAGGGGTGCGAAGCCAATGGTTTACTGACAACGACATACGTTTACATGGGCGCATGCCCCCCCCCCCCCCCCCCCCCCCCCCCCCCCCCCCCCCCCCCCCCCCCCCCCCCCCCCCCCCCCCCNCTGTCTAGCAGCCAACGCATGCAAAGCACGAGTATCGCCCCTCCCCCTCGACTTTGGCACATCACCCTTTTAGGACGCGGACATCAGCATTCGCCGGAGGGCGCTAGACCTGCTGTTCGTGATGGCGGACGAGACCAACGGCGCGGAGATCGTGGAGGAGCTGGTCACCTACCTGGCGGCTTCGGGGGCGGCGATCCGGGAAGAGATGGTGCTCAAGATTGCCATCCTGGCCGAGAAGTTCACCGACGATCTCAATTGGTGTGTGCGCACGGTAGAAATTGGTGTGCGTGTGCGTGTGCCTGTGTAAGTGTTTTTGGATTTGCATGGACCGCGCTAAGCGGCTGACCAATGAAATTTCGTTCTTCTTTGTGGTGGGATAGAAGACGCGAACGTGTGTGTGTGTGTGCGTGCTTTCATTTCTGGCGTCGGCCGCGCTGAATGCTGGCCAGTGAAATCATTCGCTCACAGGCATTGCGTGCGGGAATGGTGGTGTTTCCAATTATCCGACACAGGCGTGGCGATTTTTCCTGTACATCCGTCTCCGGGGAATGAATATTAAACATTTTTCCTTGTCCCGGTTGTTTTGTGTTAAGGTATGTGGACAAGATGCTGGAAATGATCGCCGTGGCGGGCGACTCGGTAGCCGGAGCAGTCTGGCACCGCATCATCCAAATCGTCACCAACCACAAGGACCTGCAGGTAGGTATCGACATGTTGTACCGCTGTTGGATTCTGAACTAGGAAAGCAATTTTCTCCTTTTTCGAAAACGAAACAATCATCTCTCTCCGCTGTAGAAATTTGTCCAGGATATGTGTGCAAAGTTTCATTGTTTGGTTTTGAGAAATGGTTCCCCCGGAGCGGTATCTGTTGCAGTCAGCCGTGCGACCTCTCCCTCTTGACAGCATATGTGACGGGCGGTTGCAAGCGGGGGAGCAGTCCTTTCGCCTTGGTAATGTTATCTCGAAGTATCGCTGAACATGTTTCTTTCGGCTGTGGTACAGTATACCTCCTGAACGGCCATGGAGCCTGCCCGCGCGACGCCCCCCCCTACCCTCCCGTCGATAACTCGATGATCGAAGCTTGCCTTCCCGCTTCTAATCCCTCCTCCTACGAACCATGCCGGCAGGCGTACGCAGCGGAGCGACTTTTCGCAACGCTCCAGTCGCCCCGTGCGCACGAGACCGCCGTCAACGTCGGTGGTTACATCCTTGGAGAATTCGGCTACTTCATCGCAGAACAGGTTCGTTCGCCTTTTTGACCTTTTAGACTACATTCCGGTACGTACGGCAGATATTTTTGTTGTGAAGCAACGACCCTCACGCTACTACCGTAGGATATTGTTTGTAGAGTGGCGTTGAGATGCACTAGTTTGCCTCTGTGCTTCTGTGGCCGTCTTGTCAGCACAAGAACGAATTGGTGGCCCGAGGCAGACGACGAAAGGCGGCACCCCCAACCTTGGTAGCTCCATGTCGCGTCACTCCCAACCTTCGGATGCCGTCCATTCTCTCTACGTGGCGCGTTCCTTGTCTATTGTTTACAATTCTTACCGAAACAGCATCAAACTCATTTCCATTCACAGAGTAAGAGTCCATGATAAATGAGGAAGTGTTGTGCTTTGCTTGTTGTTTTTCCACCTGCAGGACGAGATGTCGGGTCAGGACCAGTTCCACGTGCTCCACCAGCACTTCATGGAGGTCGGGCCGGCGGCCAAGGCCCTGCTCCTGAGCACCTACGCCAAACTCGCCAACCTGTACCCGGAGTGCAGAGAGCTCGTTACACCGGTGCGTACCCTCTTACTCACGTAAATTGATACCTCTCACGCTAGGGAGGCGCCTGGTGTTTGGTCCATCTGCTTTTTTGGCGCAATTATTTTCTTCTTGTCTGGGCTGCTTTCGAGTACACGGGCGTACAATGCCCTTCCATCTCCATTATTCCATATGTGCCAAAGCTACTTTCACCCGCTCTGTATCGGGCACCCGACCGTAGGGGCATCCCTGCACACCACTAGGGGTGGAACGGATAGGCCGGCAAACATGGGGAGCGGGTGCTCTACCGCAGCCGACAGAGAGACACTTCCCGGTGTCACCAGATACCTTACACTCATCAGAGCAGCCCAGACGAAAAAAACAACAACGCGCCAATACGATAGAATACGCAAAGCAGCCGAGGGAAGAACACAAAAAAATCGCGCCCAGACGGTAGATTGATACAGCACGACACGCCTCGCCAGCGCGACCGGTGTCTACACACGTGCGTGCGTTCTTTGTGCGGGTATGTGCGAAGGCGCTTTCACCCGCACTGTAGTTCACACACCCGTGCATTGTGGAGGGAAACCGAAACAAGCGGGTTCCCCCGCCCCCGCGTGCTCTGCTCATCGTGTTGTCCGTCTGTACAGGTGTTCGAACGTTTCAGCTCGAGCCAAAACCTGGAGCTGCAGCAGAGATCTTGCGAGTACCTGGGCCTGCCGGAGATGGGCATCGACGTGATGGAGGAGGTGCGTATGCCCTGTTGTTGATCCGTGGGTGGAAATCGCGTCTATGCTGGTGTTGCTGCTACTGCCTTCGTGATGACGTCGCAGCTGTCTTCCCGATGGCTACGTGTCAAAACACCGATTTCTTTGCTCGGCCATGCGCCAGCGTATGACCATACATGCATGTGCTCACGACACCAAGGTCGTGTTTCGTCAATAGCGTGTACATGTATACCTACCTCAAGTCTGCGAAGGCCCCAGCTTTTTGTGGCAGCGGCTCCACCATTCGAGCAACCTCCGTCGATTTTTAGCTTTTGCGACACGTGGTTGGGTTGTGGCATCGATGGTTGATGTGCTTTCGTCCTCGTTCGATTCAGCGATGCTTTTTTTTGTCAGAGTGAAGGCGATACCTCTTTTGTTTGTTGCTGAACGCTCGCTTCCAAGTTATTGTAGTCCTATCGAAAGTCATGTACTCCTCTGTCGTGACTTGTGGAGGTGCGGCTGACAAAAAATTGGCCAAGCGTGCCCAAGACCGACCGCGATGGCTTTGGCAACCAGCGGCACTACCTATTGTGTCGCCCTAAATTTCGGATCCGATTGAATGGCTGGCGTGTGGATGGCGGGATGTCACCCCAGCTGGCGCGACCGTGTGCCTCATACCTACGACCCGTGTTCTGACGTAACTCCCTGCCGTTCCGCACGTGATGATGTGAAATGTTTCTGTTGGGGTGACGCTATCGACTGCGTAGGTGTTGAAAGAGATGCCATCTTTCCCGGAGGACAGAGAGAGTGGGCCCGAAGCGCGACTCCGCCGCAGGTACGCTGAGGTAGTCGGTACGGCAGTTGGTGCTACAAGCACCCGCACTTAGGAGCGCGGGCGGTTAGGAATACGAAGGGTTCAAGGTTTCAGAACCTGAGAAATTTGAACCCGGCTCCACCTACACAATAGTTGCTATTCGCAGACCCGCAGAGGACATGGCACGGAAGAGTAACTAACCACGTCCCTACACCTTGTGCGCGAAAATTGGGCAGTGGTTCCTCCGGCTTTCTCGAAACAGCAGCCACGTAAAGTGCGGCGAAAGCTAGCTCACTCACACCGTCTCCCAGCGTCTCGATTGAATATTCTGTGTGTATGGTATGCGTTTACTGGTGAAAACCTCCCGATCGGTCTTCTTTACTGTCACAAAGACAAAAAAAGTTCCGTGTTTGGGCTCGTCTTTAGTATGTTTTTTTTTTTTTTGTGCGCAGACCCCGCCTCATCTTTCTCCGTCCACTCTGAACACCACCGCCAACAACCGGTTTGGTCGATGCTCTCGTGTCATCAAGGCTGGAAGAGCAGGAGCTCGGGGCGGAGGAGGGCCTCCGGGTTTCCGGTGCCGGAGGCGTCGACAACGACAACTACGACGACGACGATGGCAACGGCCACCACCACGACGGCGAGGAGCACGAGAAGGGCAGCGGCGGCGGCGGCGGCGGCAGGAGTTCCTTTAGAAGTCGGGGGGTCGCGGCGGACGCAGAGGGAGAGGGCCAGCTGGTGGTGCGGGAGGAGGTGGGTGCGCCGGCGAGGGGGGCGAGGTTGTTGGTGTCGCTGCTTGTCGTCGTCGGGGCCACGCTCACTGGAATATTGGTTGCAAGGGTGGGGTCCGGGCCGTACCGTAGTGTTCGGGTAGGTTGGCGTGTGACGGTTGTTTGGTGCCCTGGGGTTGGTCTCTCGGGGGAGTCGTTGTGTTGTTTGTGTAGACGAAAGTGTCGAGCGGAGGGTTGGGGTGTGGGTGGCTGGTTTGGGTGCGCATGGGCGCGACGCGAAAATTGAAGAGGGGGGCTGTGGACTGAAAACGCATTGGCGTTGTGAAGATAGAGCGAGCACGCGCAGCCGCTGCTGCTGTACTCGGAGCAAAGCCTATTGGCGAGGCGGATGTGCTTTTTCGGCCGTTTTCATGTCTTGCTGTAGCATGCTGATGATGTGAGTTTTTCCGGTGGTTTCGCTGTGTTTCTCTAGGTGCCTTTATCCTCCCTTTCGTCTCGGCACAGCCGAAGCACTACCGACACGCTGAGCACGCTGCACGAGAGAGCGAAAGCCAGGGCTGATGCTGCTTCTACTTGTTGTGCTTGTCATGCGCCATTGTTTTGCAGGTGGAGGTCGACGACTTGCTGGGCATCGGTGGGGAGGAAGAACACGGACAAGCACCTCCCCAACAGCAGCAACAAGACCCCGGCGGGGGCTACGGCTACGGCGGCGCTGTCGCTCCCTCACCGACAGCAGGTCTGCGGAACCCCCTTCCCGATTTCGCTGATTAGCACCGCCCGTTCGAATGATGAGTCTTTGTGTTGTTTCCTTCCGGGGTCCAAGATGTTTGCGGCTGCGTTCGTCGCATAACCACGGCCGCGCTGCTGCCCCATAGGCTGGCGCTCCCACTGGCCATGAGAGATGCGTCCAGGCGGCTGTATGAGGAGGATTTTTTTTTTTTTTTTTAGGTTCGGCTGCCTTGACACGGCCATCTCACACACCGATGACCCAACTCCGTTTATGATGCCGTGGTCTGTAGTATTGGTTGCTTCCAGGCCGAAAAACCGCTCTGACCTCTCCCCAACTCACCTCACTGGTGCAACGATATTTTTGCGCCTGCCGAAATTGGTCGGAATCGGAATCAAAACCAGCGCTTGATGCCTACTACGGTGGCGTGGATACGCCCGCCCCGCTCGCAGCGGCACCTGCGACAAATCTCCTGATGGCCCCCGAGGACGCGGTCATCAACAACAATGGCATTATCAACAACAACGGGGGAAACGATGGTGCGCTGGTGCCCGTTGAAGATAGCGGGCCCTACGATAACGACGGCGGTTACAACAACGTCGGGCAGGGTGCTGGAAATCCCGGTTACGGCTCGGCGGTGGTCCCTTCCGGGGGCGAGCTGGTTTCTTACGCGGGTGCAGGAGGATCCGCAGGGGGAGGAGGAGGGGGTGGGCTCTTGTTGGATAGCCAGGGAGAGGGCAACGGCGGCGGCGGTGGCAGGACAGGTGCGACAACATCCAATGGCATCATTCGGTTACCAGACAAATCGTTTGCGCAGGGAAACTGTGCCCAACGTCGCGTGCCTCAGTAAGCCTAACCTTTCTTCTCTTTACAACCATCCCGACAAATACATTAGTCGCCTTTTCCGTCGAGCCAACCAGCTCCTCCCCCTCCCTTCTGCTGAAACTTTTTCCCAACCGTCTACTGCGATATGCCAGCCCAGCAGCAGCAGCAGCAGCAGCTTGCCATGGGGAGCTACGGTTCGCCGGACCCCGGCACCGGAGCTCTGTACGGTAGCAGCGGTGGCGGCTTGGAAGGGATCAACAACACCAGCAATACCAACGGAGCGAGGATGGGAGGCCCTTCAGCAGGCGGGTACGGCGGGGGGGGCATGTTGCAGGGTGGAGAAGGGGGGGGGCTGGGGGAACAAGGAGTCGTGGGAGTCCCGCCCGAGATGCAGGCGCAAGTGTCGGCTTGGCTGAGGTCGCTGATGGTCAGCGATAAGGGAATCCTGTTCGAGGGCGGTCCGATTAAGGTGAACGAGAAGGAGCTGCGGCGGACCACTCTGTTAAGGTTGAGTGTTGAAGCAGGGAGTGCTGGCGTGCCAAAGAGAGTGAAACGCAGAGGCAAGGAACTGCATGGGCACATGGAAGGCTCCTGTTTAGTGGTTTGGTCAGCCTCAGGAGCTGGCAAAACGTTGATTCTTTGCACTAGTGGGTACATCCGGAGTGCTGGGCGTTCTTCGCTCTCCCCCTCGAAGCTGTCTACGGACTGCTCTCGATTTGGGCGGCTTTGTTTGAAATCTGGAAGTATCGGGAACAACGTGCACGTGTGTATCACATTTCTCGTTTAGCTCCGTGCTTGTCTCTGTATGCCCCAACGTGTTTTTTTTGTTCCATCGACGCCTCTGTTGGTGTTGTCCCTCTCATCGTGTTTTTTGTCAGATCGGAGTTATCCACGAATACCGGTCATCCCAGGGGCGGTTGACGCTCTACCTCTACAACCTGGCGGCCGCGCCTTTGACGGACTTGCGGCTAGGCGTTCCCTCGGTACGCGGAAATTGTAGCTGGCTGTTGCTGTGTTTTTGGTGTGTGTGTCGTGTATTCTCTGCATACTCTTCAAACAAGAGTATCGGACACTGATTCCACGTAAGTCAATAGGCATCCCTTGCTCCCAAAACGTCGTATTTTGGTTTGCGGACGCCGTCCATCAGATGTGTCAGGCCATGGCTTTGTGTTGCTAGTTTTTCAATGTTTCGAGGCTGAAACCTATGCTCCTCAGCGTACTGCAGAAGCTCAACAGGCGATACCCCCCCCTCCTTTCCGTGTCTAAACTTGTCTCTTTCGACTTGCTGTCTAGATGCCTTATCTCCGATCTCAAATCGGGCAAGGCCCTTCTGGGCTCGATGTGGGCGGTAGGGCACAGCAGGTCTTGATGTGCGAGTGTCTACAGGTGGGCGTCGTTGCTGCTGTTACTGTTTCTGCTGCTGCTACTGCTGTCTTTGGAATCTGCTCAGGTCGGTGTATCTCTGCGGCTTTTGCGTGAGGAATGTGCGATCAACATGGCGGACTGCCATGCTACGGGCACCTTGCCCATACGATGGTACCTGTCTTGTCTCCTCCCTTTTTTTTTGTGATGCTCACGGTTTCACGTTCACGCCTCCGCCGACGACTGCGACGACGACGGCGGCTACTAATCTCAGCCGTTCCCGGAAGCCCCGGCTTTGACGGTTTCGTTCCTGATGGAAGGCAGGCCTCACTCCTTCGAACTCACTCTTCCCCTGTCGGTGTGCAGCTTCATTGAGCCGCTTCAGGTGGGTACCCCGACGGTCTATGTGTTTGACTTCCAACCCATGCCCCCCCCCCCCCCCCCCCCCCCCCCCCCCCCCCCCCCCCCCCCCCCCCCCCCCCCCCCCCCCCCC